CACACACACACACACACACACACACACACACACACGTACCACCAAGGGCGGACTCTCACCTGACATGTTGGCCCCAGCCATGATGCCGGTGCAGCCGTTGAAGAGGACCGCAAAGACACTAGCGAAGGTCATCATGGCTCCCGTGGTGTAGTCCTCAGCATAACCAGCTGACGGAGGAAAGCGCATCGGTATTCCCCTCACACATCCCGCCCGGCCACCCCACTCTCACGCCCCCCTCCACAGCCCTGACCTGAGGGGCCGTGTGTCGCCTCCTCCCCATCCTCCTCTGTCCTCTCTCACGGCCTCTTCTACCCCAGCTCCTATCCCAACTCACCCGCCCCGCTCAAAGGACCTGCAGGGCTTGCTCGTGGCTTCCCCAGCCCCGAATCGAGGGGAGGTTCCCCCTTCTCTGCTTACCCCACCCTTCCTTAGTCTGTTCCTCCTTCTTCCATGACGGGATCTCACTTCAGGCTGGCCTCACTGTGCGGCCGCGGATGACACTGAATTTCCGATTCTCTACTTCCCAAGTGCTGGGATTACAGGCACGCACCGCCATGAGCGGTCAATTGTGTGAGCTAGCCAAGTGTTCTACCAACGAGCTACATCCACAGCTTTTCCTTTTGTTTTTAAGACTTATTTGTATATTTTGCTATAAGTATGGGGGAGGGGGTTTATGCCATGCATGTGCAGGCGCCCAAAGAGGCCAGAGCATGGTGTCACATCTCTTGAAGCTGGAACTGTGAACTGCCTGATAATGGGTGCTGGGCACTCCTAACCACGGAAGCATCTCTCCAGCCCCTCTCCGGGGATTCTAAGGCCAACCCCCCCCAACCCCCACCCCGGCACCACAGTGTTCAGCTCACCACCCAAGTTGTCCTTCAGGGTGCTGCCGTTGAAGCCAGTGAAGTGGCCATATCGGGGTGGCACAGCGGAGCCGTTGGTGCCTGGTCGGGGCGCCAACTGGATGTCCTTGGGTTTCATGGCCACAAAGCTGACCAGCACGGAGGCCAGGGAGCCAGAGACCAGCAGGAATGTAAGAAAGGAGGCACGGGCGTAGAGTCCAGCTCCCAGTGTGCACACGCCACCCACGAGGCCGAGCAGCAGGGAGCCGTAGAGCAGATTCCAGCCGTAACCCTGGGGTAGAACCCGGATCCCACTGGCGCCTGTGACGTCTGAAAAGAAGCAGGCTTGAGATAAAAGATCTGACCCCCAAGGAGACGCCCAGCCCTAACTATGACCCCTGCTCCCCACCTGCTACTAGAGACCGAATTTATCCTACACCCCTTTTCAGGGTAACCCCAGCATCTTCGCTCTCCCTGCTGGGTACCCATCTTGCTATGGCAATTTCCAGAACATCAGGCCGGGCTCTCTGACTAGAACCAGGCATGTCCGATCTTTTGACTTTGCAACATGACACTGTCATTAACAAATCCTTCTCAAGAACTGCCCCCCCCCACACACACAATTTTTTTTTTTTTAATCTCATAAAAAGACAATAATAAGGTGGCTCAGGAGTTAATATACCCACTGCCAAGTCAGACAAACTGAGTTCAATCCCTGGGACCCACATGCTAGAAGAAAAAGGCCATGTTACACACACACACACACACACACACACACACACACACGCACGCACACGCACACAGAGCTGGATCTGTAACTCAGCTGGCAGAGTGCTTGCTTAACATACATACAGGCCTGGGTTTCATTCCCAAATAAAACCAGGCACAGTGGCACATGCCTGTATTCTCACCACGGGGGAGGTGGGGCAGGAGAATCTGGAGTTCAAGGTTATCTCCAGGACAGTCTGGGATACGTGAGACTTTTTCCTTTAAATAAATAAATAAAAGAGGGAGGGAGAGGGCGCAGTTGGTAAAGCGCTTGCCGTGTGTGCCGGCTGTTCTCGGTGGTCAACGTGACTACACCTGGAATTGACTAAAACCCCAATGACTGGGCACACCTGGGAGGGATTTTTCTTTCTTAATTAAATTATTAGGAGGAAGATCCCCTTCTAATCATAGAGATGGGAAGATAAATCTTTAATCTGGACCACACCTAAAGGACCCGGAAAAAGGAAGCTCTCTCTCTTTGCCTGCTTGTTCTCGCCCTTGCTAGCAAATCCACTCCTTCACTGGCATTGGAGCCTACTTCTTCAGGGTTCTGGTGTTTCCCAAAGAGCAGCTGAGACATCTAGCCTCACAGACTGAACAACTGCTGGATTCTTGGACCTTCCATTCATAGGCAGCCATTGTTGGATTAGCTGGATCACACCTGTAAGTCAGTCTAATAAATCCCCATATAGAGAGTATATATAATATGAGTGTGTATAGAGAAGGAAACAGAGGCTCATTCTATGAGTTCTGTTACTCTAGAACCTGACAAACACAGATCTGGGTACCAGAAGTGGTTCTAAAGCAAGCCAGTGAGCAGCACTCCCCATGGCCTCTACATCAGCTCCGGCCCAGGTTCCTGCCCTGTTTGAGTTCCTGTCCCAACTTCCTCCAGTAACAGACCACAATGTGGAAGTGTAAACCAAATAAAGCCTTTCCTCCCCAAGTGGCTTTGGTCATGGGGTTTCATCACGGTAATAGTCACCCTAGCTAAGACACCGTGCAAGAGTGGAAACCTGAATCCGGATCCCTAACATCCACGCAAAAGCCGGGTTCAATGGCAATGACCCTGTCTCCAAAAAAAAAAAAAAAAAAATTAGATGAAGGGTTGGCAGTGAAAAAGGTTTGCTCTGCTGAGCGCGCCTTTGATCCCAGCCCTTGGGGCAAAGGCAGACAGATCTCTGAGTTCAAAGCTAACCTGACCCACACAGTGAGTTTGAGAAGAGCCAGGGCTATGTAGAGAAACCCTGTCAACAATAATAATAATAATAGTAATAGTAATAATAATAGAAAAAGAATGGTTCCTGCCCTTGCAGAGCACCAGGTCAGTGCTCAGAACACACACTGTTAAAGTCACCTGAAGCTCTAGTTCCAGGGGATTTGAGGCCATCTTCTGACTTTGGAGTTTACCTCCATGCACACAGTGCACATAAACTCACGCTGGCACATACACATAAATAAATAATAAAAAATAAGATTAAGGGTTTCCGTCCTCAGAGCCGCCTCCCACTCTCAGAAGTTCTTCCTTTCTGTCTGTCTGTCTTTCTTTCTTTTCTTTTAGGCTTTTCAAGACAAGGTTTCTCTGTGTGGCCCTGGCTGTCCTAGAACTCTTTCTGTAGGCCAGCCTGGCCTCGAACTCAGAAATCCACCTGCCTCTCTGCCTCCCGAGTGCTGGGATTAAAGGTGTGCCACCATGCCCGGTTTTTGGAGTTATTGCTTACTTTCCCTTAATAAATCTACCTTCACTGTGCACACACAAAAATAAATAGGACAGGCGAGATGGCCCAGTGGGTAAACATTTTTGCCAAGCAAGCCTGGAGATCTGAGTTTGGTCCCCTCAAACAGCATAGAGGTGGAAGGAGAGAACTGATCTCACAAACTTGTCCTGTGACCTCCACACTCAAGCCATAGCAGGTGTGTGTCCCTCTATCCTACACACAATAATAAAAAAAATTAGTGAATATTTACAATTAAGCAAATAAGGCGAAGAGCCATAGAGGAAGATAGCTAACATTGACCTTTGGCCTCCACATAGGCATGCTCAAGTAGGGTCATCCACACATGCATATTTACACATCACACATGCACACCCCCCACTCGCCACTCCCCCCCCTCCAAAAAAAGGGGAAAATGCATATCTAAAAAGGAAATTTTTTGTTGTTATTGTTGTTTTGTGAGACAGGGTTTCTCTGTGTAGCCTTAGCTGTCCTGGAACTCACTCTGTAGACCAGGCTAGCCTCGAACTCACTGAGATCCACCTGGCTCTGCCTCCTGAGTGCTGGGATTAAAGGCGTGTGCCACCACTGCCCGACCAGGAATCTAATGTTTTAAAGGAGCTTAAAATTTGGTGTTGGGAGCATTTATAACTATCCTTGGCCACATGCAGCCACATGTGTCCAGAGGGCTGCCGGTTGGACATGCCTGGGGACGGAGACAAGCACTGGGTTGCCCACACGTCCTGCAGAAGGCAGGCCAGACAGAAAGTGAAGACTCTGGTGTGTGCACTTGGGAAACAGGACTCCAGAATCCCAGACCCCGAAGAACTCAGCACCCCCCAGACCAGGTCGGGGAGAGTACAGACCAGCCCCGAAGACATCCAGCACCGACTCCACCAGTCCCAGCAGGGACACAGCACAGCCACAGACGTTGGCCAGGTAGAACATGAGGCCGATGCTGCCGCCAACCTCCGGCCCCAGGGTCCTGCTGATCATGACTAAAAGTGGAAGCAGGGGTTGAGCGTTAAGGGAAAAGAAACTGAGATGGAGGAAGGGGCCGTAAGCCCATCTTTCCGCAGCTTCACTTCCGGGTTTCCTGTAACTATCAGCTCACTTCTCAGGAGCAGAGCACTCTCGTCTTGTATCTTTGCATAAATCATAAGAACGACAATCGTCCCCATTTCCCACTCCCGCCAGGCAAGCTCGCCACCCTGAGCTGTTAGCCCGCTCTCTTTTCACTTTGTAGCCTAGGATAACTTCAAACTCCTCATCCTCCTGCCTCCACCTCCCCAGTGCTAGGATTAGAGGCCGGCATCACCATACCCCGCTCTTTTTATTTTGAGACACGGCCTCCATTAGTTGCCCAGGCTGGACTTAAATTCGCTCTGTAGCCCAGGATGGTCATGGACTTTTCATCCTCCTGCATCCATCTCCCAGGTATCCAGGGTGACAGGCCTGCATTTCCACCTGGCATCCACTTTCCTCATCTATAAAATGACTATCACTGAGCCTTTTTGTTGTTAGAGAGGAGCAGGACTGGGGATCACCCCAGACCTCAAGCATGCTAAGCAAGCACCCTACCACTGAGCTACAACCTCTGCCCTTAAAATGCTAACTGATAACATTGTTCGGAGATCAGATAGCGGTACTAACATGAAGACAGAGTGCTGGTCACCTTTACCTTCTCATCCTGCTGCTCACCATTCATAAACCTTTGGCCTGTTTTCAGAGAGGAGATAGTGGCCCCTTCCCCGCCCTGAACCCTGGAAGACAGACCAACCCAGACCCAGGCCACCTAGGGTGGAGGATACAGTAGGCTCCGCCCCCTCTCACCGCTCCATTGGTGGCAATGGCACAGACTGAGAGGACGGTGAGTGCCAGAATGATGTAGGCAACCAGGAGCATGGCCAAGGCCTGCAGCAGCCCAGCGTGGCCCACCACGAAGCCTGAACAGGAGGAGAAAAGCAGGTCACAAGGGACAGTCACATCCTCTTCCCCTGTCCCCATCCCACTGGGTAGCAGAGTCCCACAGCAGAGACACGCGCGAGGCCACAGGGGGTCTTTTCCTTCCACCCTCCATCTGTCCACTAGGGCCCATCCCTAGCCGCAGCCTGGCCTGCCCCCTGCCCAGGAAATCCTTGCTCTACTCACCGATCCTCAGAAACACGACGATACTAAACATGGACAGGACGGTGGGCACTACCACACCCAGGAAGGTGGAGAGCTTTCGGGCTGACGGCACCCCAGATCCCCCGGCTCCAGTGGGAGGGAAGGCGCCCCCCTCTTCCCCCAGAAGCCTGTAGGCCAGCAGAGGGGAGCTCTCGCTGGCCATAGCTGAGCGTGGGCAGGGGAAGCCACAGAGGGGCTTAGGCGACCTGTAAAAGAGGGTTTTTAGGGGCTGGAAAGCAATTCCACAGAGCTGTTCCTCCTAAACAAAGCCCTCTTCACACACTCAGAGCTTCCTCAAAAGGAGAGTTGCAAAGGGGACACACACACACACACACACACACACACACACACACACACACACGGCGCAGAAACTCAAAACTGTCCCAGCAACTTCCCCCACACTCTCGGACCCCGGTGTATAAGTAATCGGGGCCCCTTTCAGCTCTTGGGGCCCGGGCCTTCCTTTCTGCCTCTAAAACTAGGGGCAGCAGCGGCTCTGCAAAGGAACACAGACCCCCCTGTCAAACAGGGTCTCTCCTTAACTGGAAACCAGAGAGGAAGGAGATCTCCCCGGAGGGAAGTTAGCGACTGGCAGAAAGCACCTCCTCCCTGCCCCTCTCGAGTACCCCCAATACAGCATCTCACACAAGGGCAGTAAGAAACTTTCAAATCTCTCAAAGCTCCGCCCTCCATCACCTCTGTCTCTCAACCCATCTCAATCCTAACCAGATTTTTCTAATCTCTACGAGGAACCACCCACCCCCCAAAAAAACTCTATCAATCCAAACAGAGCCCTCGATTGTCCAAGCACACATGCAGGCCGCCTGGCATCGCGGCACACGGGGGTCCCCAGGGCCCTCCTCCCCCACCCACCCGTTCTTGTCCACTTGCTCCAGTAACTGGATGCCTGTGGGCCAGGGATCTGGCCGCGGCCGGCCAAGCGCACCCCGCAGCTGGGTGCGGCAGGTTCCCCACTCACCACCCTAGGAACGCAGCTGCTCCGGGGTGATCCCCGCGCGCCTGGGGGGCTCCGCTACGCGCGGAGGGGGCGAGGGGGCCGGAAAAAGCAAGCGGGCTACCGGGATGTCAGGCCCGGAGCCTGCCCTCCCCAGCAAGGCGTCCCATTGGTCCCGGGTCAAGACCCGCCCCCAAGGCGTGGTCCACGCGCAAGCTCCGCCCACACTCCCCCCAAGCTGCCTGTGCCAGCCCCACGGCTCCACGTGTGTCCCGGGTGTCATCTGCATGGCAGTGGGTCGCGATCCCCTGGGCCCCCCGTCACCACGATGCTAAGAGATGCCCAAGGTGCGGATCTGACTCCAGTTCGAGCTCCGAGGAACCCCCAGGAGTACCCGAAAGGGGTGTGTGGCGACTGCGGAAAAGTGGCCCGGAGTGGGCGGAACCGCGGCACCTGACTCAGGTGTGTGGCCGAGAACTGCGAGCGACGTCGGCCGGCGTCTTCCGGAGTCGTGCGATTCCTGTCTCAGTAGAGACCTGGAATGTCCTCGGGGTTCCAGCCTGGTCCCTTTCAGCCCAGAGAAAGCCCTCTCCTCGCCCAGTTCCAGCCCGCGGGCTGCGCTCTTCTTTCCGGCCACCGGAGGGATCCGTGAGCCCCCATGCAGGCGCAGGTCCCGGTGGCTACGCTGGTGACCCTGCCTGCTTCTGTGCCTGTCAGCGAAGATCGAAAAACTGTGAGCCAACTCTCAAATTGGTGTCTCACTAACGGCGTCTCCCCATCTACAAAACTGGACTTAACCTGAACATCCCTCCTAAAAGAGCAGTTGAGAGATGAGCTGATCGTGTATACTCCTTTGTGTGGGAAGGGAAGGGGGTCCTTATGCAGCCCGGGCTAGCCCTCTCAATTCGCTACATAGCTCACTAGGACTTTATGCTTGTGATCTTCCTGCCTCCACCTCCCCTGTGTTGGGATTACAGGTAATGACACAGCCTGATGCTAATAGTTTATTTTCCTGAAAGGGCCCCGCTGCCCCGCCCCAATATTAAACACACCACCTGAGGCACAGGCTAGACCACTAAACTACACGCACAGCGTTAACGTACTGACTCTTCAGTCCAATGTGTACGTGTTCAGTGATTTATTCCCCCCCCCACAGAGTATTGTATTAGATGTACATAACTGTTCTGTGAGTGGAGGCCGCTGCTACTGCTGTTTTATTAGATTAGGGAACTGAAGATAAGAGGCTTAGAAAAAATTCTTTTAGATTTTTTTAAATTATTTATTTATTTTGCCAGGCGGTGGTGGCGCATGCCTTTAATCCCAGTACTTGGGAGGCAGAGGCAGGCGGATCTCTGTGAGTTCGAGATCCAGGAAAGGCACAAAGCTACACACAGAGAAACCCTGTCTCAAAAAAACGGAAAAAAAAATTATTTTATGTGCATTGGGTTTCCCTTGCATGTATGTCTGTGTGAGGATGCCAGATCCCCGGGAACTGGAGTTACAGACAGCTTGAGGTGCCCTGTGGGTGCTGGGAATTGACCCCCGCTTCCTCTGGAAGAGCAGCCAGTATTCCCAGCCACTGAGCCATCTCTCCAGCCCAGATTTTTTTTAATGTTTGTGAGAGTTTTGTCTGCATGTATGTATGTGCACTGTGTGCGTGCCTGGTGCCCCTGGAGGTCAGAAGAGGGCACTGGATCCCCTGGGACTGGAGTTACAGGTGTTTGTGAGCCACCAATGTAGGTGATGGGAACCGAATCTGGCTCCTCTGCAAGAGCAGCAAGTGCTCTTAACCACTGAACCACACACACACACACACACACACACACACGCACGCACGCACGCACGCACGCGCACACACACACACACACACACACACACGCACCCCAAATCTTTTAAATTACATTTATTTATTTACCTACTCACTTGTGGGTAAGGATCATCCACCACATGTGCAAGTCAGAGGACAACTTGAAGGAATGAGTTATCGCCTTCCGCCGCGTGGGCCCCAGGGATGGAACCGGGTTGGCAGCAAGTACCCACTGAGTCATCTCACCGGCGGCCCCTTGGAGACCGTTAGCAACACATTCTGAACCTTTATGTACAGCTTTATGCTCACCCTGCTATTCGGACCTTCAGAAATGAAGACGGAGAGTCTGACGTTCCCGTAGGAGAGGCTGGGGGCTCGCGCCTCCCGAAACTGCTGGTCGTGCAAACATGAGGACCCGAGTTCTGATCCCCAGAACCCGTGTAGAAAAGCCAGGTGCTGGGGAAGCAGGCGAGGGGGGCGGCGGTTCCTGGGGTTCAGCTTAGCTGCTCTGGTGAGGTCCAGGTTCTGCGAGAGACCTATCTTAAGAAAGAAAGTGGAAAGTGACTGAGGAGACCCTGACATTGACCTCTGGCGTCCCACATGCACATGAACACACGTGGACACAAACTCGCACACACAGTGTGGCTCTCTACCAGGAACAAATTTGGCATCTCCGGAGTCATGTCTGCTACCCATGTTTCAGTCACAATTTTTGGTAAGATTTTGTGTAATTTCTAAAAGCTAGGATGTGGCTAGCTCCACTTTGCACATGTACTCCAATAAAAATTGTGCTACACACACACACACACACACACACACACACACTCATGCACACATTTTTATGATTGTTTGAGACAGGCTCTCAAGTGACCCAGGCTGCATAACTGAGGATGACCTTGAATTCCTGACCTTCCTGCCTCCACTTCCCAAGGGCTGGAATTATAGATATTTCACCACATGCCTGCCTTGTTGTTTCTTGATTATGGCTTTTGTTTTTGTTTTGCTTCAAGACAAGGTTGCCCTGGCTGTTCTGGAACTTGCTTTGTAGACCAGAGCGACCTTGAATCCAGAGTTCTGCCTGCCTTTGCCTCCCAAGTGCTGGGATGAACAATGGGTACAAGACATCACCCCTAGATGCTCTTGTTGATTTTTCTTTGTTTGTTTGTTTGTTTGTTTTCCAGTCAGGTTTTCTCAGTGTAGCTTTGGAGCCTGTCCTGGATCTCCCTCTGTAGACCAGGCTGGCTTCGAACTCACAGAGATCCGCCTGCCTCTGCCTCCCAAGTGCTGGATTGCTGGGATTAAAGGTGTGCGCCACGCTTGTTGAAGTTTCAAGTGTGGTTTTGTTTGCTTTTGAGACTGGGTTTCATGTAGCCCAGGCCAGTCTCGAACTCCTGACCCTCCCGCCTGCACTCCACTCAATCTCAGAGGAATAAATACCACATGTATAATAGCACTAGGGTGTATCCTCAGCCTGGACCTCTACGTTTAACCTCAGACTGTATGTCCAACTATTAACGGGAAAACCTCACCCAGTGAAATGTCTTCAGTAAGCCACCCAGCATCAACTCCAGAGTCAGACAGCCTATCAGGGCAGAACCCCCTCCCTTCATAATGAGCCTCTCTCCCTGGAAGGGGGGGGGACTAAATAAATTATAGTGGGCACGGTGGTGCATGCCTGTTATCCCGCCTTTCCTTTGAAAGGCTGGGACAGGAGGAGTGAGCGTTCAGGGTCATGCCTGTGTACATAGTGAGTTCGAGGCCAGCCTCGTCTATATTAGATCCAATAGCAAAGCATCAAGGAGGAGGAGAAGAGAGGATGACCTTCTAGCTTCTTTTTGTTTTGTTTTGTTTTGAGACAGGGTCTCACTATGTAGCCCCTGGCTGTCCTGGAACTCACTATGTAGACCAGGCTGTCCTTGAACTCGTGGAGATCTAATTGCCTCTGCAGGCCTGTGCCACCACATCTGGCTTAGCTTCACGTTAATTGACTTGACAATCAGAGCCTCTGATGGAAGCCCACAACGGGGCGATCTGATTAGTCTCCCAGTAGCTTTGCTAGAGATAACACTTAGTGGGTTACGATAATAGCTGTGGAGGAGGCTTTGCAGGGGACGGTAGGGGCTGCTGTGGGTCCAGACGGAGACGGTCTCTCAGGCTAGCAGATGTCCTAAGGTGGGGTCTTAGGGATGAGAAGTCTTGGCCTCTGTATTCAGTTTCTTTTCACATCCCTGTAACAGGGGTGACCTGAGAAGGAAGAGTTTGTTCTGGCTCGCGGCTGGAGCGAAGAGGCGACTGGGTCACGTGGCATCCACAGCCGGGAAGCGGGGTGCCATGAGTGCTGGTGCTCAGCTGCTTCTTTCTATTTCGTCCCCAGCCTAATGCCGGCTACACTGAGAGTGTGTCTCCCCACGGAAGCCCTCACACACCTCCCCAGAGGTTTGTCTCTGTGGTGACCCTAGATCCTCTTAAGCTGACAACGAGGATGAGCGTTCACAGCAGCTGTCCTTGTCCGGCTTCTGTCGCCTCTGCTGCCTCAGCCTTTGAGCCACGCTCTGCCCCAGTTCACATACAGACAAGTGGGTTGCGGAATGTTTTGTCTAGCCCTGGAGAGATGGCTCAGCAGATAGATAAGGACACGTGTAGCTTTCGTTGAGAACCCAGGTTCGGTTCCCAGCACCCTATGGTGGCTCAAAGACATCTGTAACTCCAGTTCCAGGGGACCTGATGCCTTCTCCTGACCTCTTTGGGCACCAGGCATGCACACGGTGCACATACATACATGCAGGCAAAACACTCATACACATAGAGTAAATAAATAAATCGAAAAAGAACTTAAAAAAAAAAAAGAGAGAGAGAGAGAGATGTTTTGTCCAAGGCTGCAACACGGGGTTACTCCAGTTACTTAGTCTCTCTCTTCCCTTTCAGAATAAAGCTTTTCAGAATCAAACTGGGCACGGCGGCTCATCTCAGCGCTGACAAGGCAGAGGCGGGTGGACTTCAAGTTCAAGGACAGCCCGGGCTACGTAGCCAGACCTGGCTCAAATAAATAAATAAAAGCCATCCCTGCAGACTGCAGCTGTGGAAACCCTCTGACTCCCCCAGTCCACCGTAAGCTGCACGGCGATGCCAAGGTCTTACTCCTCACGTGACTGCATAGGCCCCGCCCCCAGGGAAGGGACTATGGCGGCGCCCGGCGTGGCTTCAGAAAGAGGGCAGTCAACGAGAGGACGCTGGCGCACCAGAGCGTCCACACCGGCGCCGTTTCTGCGGTTGTATGCTGGGAAGGCGGGAATCCTGGGCTCTACGCGCTGGACCTCCTCCTGGTTTTTAAAAGAGAGAACAACAAAGCACCTAAGCCCCAGAGACAG